CAAACCGCAGCCACCCTGCCGTGCGGCGCGGCGGCCATCTTGTTTGCCATCCCTACATCCGCGGTCAGCCATCTTGATCCCAAACTCTGCTGGGCACCATCCCCGCTGCGGCAGCCATCTTGTTCCTTCTCCCCACACCCACAGTGGCCATCTTGGCCCGGCAGCCATCTTGGCCCGGCCTCCGTCTTGGTCCAGTGGCCATCTTGGCCTGGCGGCCATCTTGGTCCGGTGGCCATCTTGGTCCGGTGGCCATCTTGGTCCGGCGGCCATCTTGGTCTGGCGGCCATCTTGGTCCGGTGGCCATCTTGGTCCGGTGGCCATCTTGGCCCGGTGGCCATCTTGGTCTGGCGGCCATCTTGGCCCGGCGGCCATCTTGACCTCCCCCAATACCAAACCCTCCCCAAAAACCCCTTAAACCCCCCAAATTTCCCCCAAACTCACCAAAACCGGCCCCGAACCGCCTCAACCGCACCCAGGACACAAATTTTGAGGACAAAACGCCGACATCTGGGACACGAGGGAGGAGGGAGGGGACAAGGCAGGGCCCTACTGCACCGTTTAATAGATTTATCATATAAAAAATATCTATGTACATTTATTATTCTTAGATTAGGAGCATCCGGGTGGGGGCGGGGCGGGGAATTAGAGCCGAGCGGGGAGCGGCGGCGGCAGCGGGGGAGGAACCGGGGGGCTACGGGGGGGCCCGGGCGGGGTCAGTCGCGGTTGATCCGGAGGCGGAAGGCGACGCGCCCGGCGAATTTGTCGCGCTCGTCGTCGGTGCGGAGCCCGGCGGCGTTGAGCCGACATTCCACGTGGTGATCCACGTTGGCCGTGGCGTTGGAAAACTGCACGGCCACCACGGGCTGGGTGTAATTCACCTGCGGGTTTGGGGGGAAAAAAGGGGACGGATCGGGAAAAATCCCGATTTTCAGGGAATTCCGGGGTTGGGGGTGGGTCGAATGTTCCCGTTTTCAGGAGGTGGAGTGATCCCCAAAATCCCCGTTCCCAGGGATTCGGGGTTCCAGGTGATCCCCAAAATCCCCGTTCCCAGGGATTCGGGGTTCCAGGTGATCCCCAAAACGCCGATCCCAGAGATTTGGATTTCCAGGTGAAATTTTTTTGGGAAAACCCCCATTCCCAGGTGTCCAGGAGATCCCAAAAATCTCTGTTTCCCGGGATTCGGGAGTCTGGGAACCCCCAAATCCCCCGCCCCCCAAGAAGAATCCGGATGTCCAGCGGGACAAACTTTTGGGGTCCCCTAAAACCACTGGAAAGGATCCCAAACCTTCAGGAAATCCCCCCAAAACCCCTTCAAGGGATCCCAGACTTCCAGAAACTTCCACAAAACCCCTTGGGAGAACCCCAGGGATCCACGAGCCCCCTCCCACCGGGGTTTTGGGATCCCTCCCAACTCCCCAGAGAGGTCCTGGGTTTTGGGGTCCCCGGGGGTTTTTAGGGTCCCGGTTTTGGGGTCCCGAGGTTTTCTGGGGTGCCAGATTTGGGGTCCCGGGGGTTTTTGGGCTCCCAGGGGTTTCTGGGGTGTCGGGTTTTAAGGGTACCGGTTTTGGGGTCCCCAGGGGTTTTTGGGGTCCCAGGGATTTTTGGGGTCCTGGGGGTTTTTAGGGTGCCGGTTTTGGGGTCCCTGGGGGTTTTTGGGGTCCCCGGGGGTTTTTGGGGTCCCGGGGGTGTTTAGGGTACCAGTTTTGGGGTCCCCGGGGGTTTTTAGGGTGCCGGTTTTGGGGTCCCCGGGGGATTTTGGGGTCCCAGGGGGATTTTGGGGTCCCGGTTTTGGGGTCCCCGGGGATTTTGGGGTCCCAGGGGTTTTTGGGGTCCCGGGGGTTTTTAGGGTGCCGGTTTTGGGGTCCCGGGGGATTTTGGGGTCCCCGGGGGATTT